GCCAGGCAATGGAAAACATGCACCCTGATGCAAAACACACTGAGGAGTCCCTTTGTTCACATTTAGAGCACTCACCAACAATTCTGCTCAATATGTAAAAGAGTAAGTTGTGTATTGAGGAAAAAGCAATTATACAACCAGACTCAGTTCGATTTCATAGGAAATCATATATTCAATTTATTACATGATAAGCTAAAAAGAAATGAACTATATACAGGTCCTTCTCAAAAAATTAGCATATTGTGATAAAGTTCATTATTTTCCATAATGTAATGATAAAAATTAAACTTTCATATATTTTAGATTCATTGCACACCAACTGAAATATTTCAGGTCTTTTATTGTTTTAATACTGATGATTTTGGCATTCAGCTCATGAAAACCCAAAATTCCTGTCTCAAAAAATTAGCATATCATGAAAGGGTCTCTAAACAAGCTATTAACCTAATCATCTGAATCAACTAATTAACTCTAAACACCTGCAAAAGATTCCTGAGGCTTTTAAAAACTCCCAGCCTGTTTCATTACTCAAAACCGCAATCATGGGTAAGACTGCCGACCGACTGCTGTCCAGAAGGCCATCATTGACACCCTCAGGCAAGAGGGTAAGACAGAAAGAAATTTCTGAACAAATAGGCTGTTCCCAGAGTGCTGTATCAAGGCACCTCAGTGGGAAGTCTGTGGGAAGGAAAAAGTGTGGCAAAAAACGCTGCACAACAAGAAGAGGTGACCGGACCCTGAGGAAGATTGTGAAGAAGGACCGATTCCAGACCTTGGGGGACCTGCGGAAGCAGTGGACTGAGTCTGGAGTAGAAACATCCAGAGCCACCGTGCACAGGCGTGTGCAGGAAATGGGCTACAGGTGCCGCATTCCCCAGGTCAAGCCACTTTTGAACCAGAAACAGCGGCAGAAGCGCCTGACCTGGGCTACAGAGAAGCAGCACTGGACTGTTGCTCAGTTTTGCATGTCATTTGGAAATCAAGGTGCCAGAGTCTGGAGGAAGACTGGGGAGAAGGAAATGCCAAAATGCCTGAAGTCCAGTGTCAAGTACCCACAGTCAGTGATGGTCTGGGGTGCCATGTCAGCTGCTGGTGTTGGTGCACTGTGTTTTATCAAGGGCAGGGTCAATGCAGCTAGCTATCAGGAGATTTTGGAGCACTTCATGCTTCCATCTGCTGAAAAGCTTTATGGAGATGAAGATTTCATTTTTCAGCACGACCTGGCACCTGCTCACAGTGCCAAAACCACTGGTAAATGGTTTACTGACCATGGTATTACTGTGCTCAATTGGCCTGCCAGCTCTCCTGACCTGAACCCCATAGAGAATCTGTGGGATATTGTGAAGAGAAAGTTGAGAGACGCAAGACCCAACACTCTGGATGAGCTTAAGGCCGCTATCGAAGCATCCTGGGCCTCCATAACACCTCAGCAGTGCCACAGGCTGATTGCCTCCATGCCACGCCGCATTGAAGCAGTCATTTCTGCAAAAGGATTCCCGGCCAAGTATTGACTATTGAGTGCATAACTGAACATAATTATTTGAAGGTTGACTTTTTTTTTTTGTATTGAAAACACTTCTTTTATTGGTCGGATGAAATATGCTAATTTTTTTAGACAGGAATTTTGGGTTTTCATGAGCTGTATGCCAAAATCATCAGTATTAAAACAATAAAAGACCTGAAATATTTCAGTTGGTGTGCAATGAATCTAAAATATATGAAGGTTAAATTTTTATCATTACATTATGAAAAATAATGAACTTTATCACAATATGCAAATTTTTTGAGAAGGACCTGTATTTATATAGCGCTTTTCACAATACAGATTGTATCAAAGCTGCTTCACAGTATCAATCAAAAAAAAAAAAACTAGTTAAAAACTAATATTAGTGTATCAGCTAATATTTTGCTATTTTTAGATTATTGGCTAATAAATCTGCCAATAACTGTCTTGGCTGTTTAGCAGGTGCTTTAGCTCTACCTTGTGTCAGTTACAAGACATTTTTTGGTGAATTTCGAATATTCTGTCAAAATTGTTTATTTAAAGAGCAACGTGCAGGTTGAATTTATAACTGAATTAATACTTTATATTGTCTGAAGAGGTCTTTTAAAAACACATATGTAGAAATTACTAATGAAATCTCATTTGATGTAGAGATTTTGATGAAAATGTGCTAGGCTCTGGAATACGCCTTTCCCGCTAGCAACGCGTCATATGACGTAGGCCGAGGCAAACAAGAGCTCGCGTTCAGCTGTAGTAAGAGCGGTAGTGAGAGACAGACAAAGTTTTAGATCGAGTTATAGAGATGCCATAATGGTAAATTGTTGTGTTTGTGCTGGTTGCACGAATTCCAGCCTGTCAGGACATCGTGTCCATCATTTTCCTTCTAGGAAAAACAAGGCTTTTCGTTCTTGGGTGCGTTTTGTGCAGGTGAAGAGAGCAGACTTCACTGCCGCGTCTGTCACCACACACTCGGTCGTTTGTAACGCACATTTCACTCCGGAGAATTATAGACCTGGAGATTTTTTGCATCACAGACAGATGGTTTAATTAATACGGATTTGCAAACATTGCATTTTGCTGTCTTGCTCTGCGGTGTTTCCAGTGTGAAGTATTTACACACAGCTCAATGCTGTCCTGCTTGCTGGCTGCAAACTGCGGAATGGATTTCCTGAGGGGGGTCTCTGTGTCTCATTGAGCCGCGCCTCCGTTCAGGAAATCCATTCCACAGTTTGCAGCCAGCTAGCAGACTGGCCGGCGGGAATCACTTTTGGAGTCATTTCAGCAGGATATCGGATATCTCCGCAGGTTGGATCGGGAAAATCCGTTACATGAATTACACTGGTATCTGTCCCGATACCGACACTGGATCGGATCGGCCCCATCCCTACCTGTGGGCCATCGGCATGCTCGTCAACATCGGAGAACTCGGTTTCTTCATTCACATCCATTGTAACCTGAGCTTGAACTTGACCAGACTCCCTCGCCCATCGTCACTTCAGGTTAGTGCTTTATCAACGCAGAAGTTATTTTATCACAATTTATCTCAAAATATCGTTAATGGCAAAATATATATTACTCCAGTTCAGAAAATCTAGTTGTTTTATCATCAACATACACTATGCTATAGGGGTGTCCAACCTGCATGTTGCTCTTTAATACAAGTTTATATGTGTGCATCTCCATGGCTTTAAAGGGATAGTACACATCTTCAAAGAGAAAAATCTTTTTCTATTAGAGTAATGACTGCTGAATGGATTACAAAAGCTTTTTACAATCTGAATGTATTTTTAACAATTAAAATAACAAAAGAAGTTTCTTTAATTGTGCGTAATTCTAACAAGGATTTGAGTGCTCATTCCCTCACTTAAAGGGGTCATATAATGGTACATGCACTTTTACAAGTTGATTGTACTGCAATGTGTGTTGGCAGTGCCTGCACCCAACCATAATTTAATGATAAAAATCCATCCAGTGGTTTTGTTTTAATCTCCTTATATGTATTCCCCTGTCTCAAATCGAGCCGTTTCACCGTGTGACGTCACACGGCGCATGACGCCCCTCCCACGGTTGTTGATTGACAGCAGTTTCAACACAGACCCGCCCTGAGCGAGCTCTCATCATAGTCCGTCGTTGTTGATACACTGGAGCAGAATGGCGTCTAAGCGATTGTGTTGTTCTGTTCTTGGGTGCAATAACAAACACAGAAATCATTTTGATGTTCCTAAATTTAAACCGCTGAAGACGCAGTGGCTGAGTTTTGTTTACGATGGGAATATTCCCCACGATCAACGTCAATGCTTTCATGTTTGCGCGAATAATTTATCGTAGACTTCTTTATAAACGAGGGTCAGTATAAAGCTGGTTTTGCTAAGAAGCTGCTCCTGAATAATCGGTACCAACTATTTATGTTCCCTCTGCACCTCCAGAAGAAGGGAGTGTAAAGTTGTATTAACCTTTATATTAATCTTTGCAAATCGCGGGAACAAGTTTTTCATGACCATTAGTTGTAATGTCAATCTGTCAATGAACTAACGTATACATCAGTAAACACAGCGTTCGTATCTCACTACTCTACCCTGCCAGTGCATACAAAGATAGATCAAAGTGACATTAACTTTGTGCGAGGAAACAAATTTCCTCTCGAGGACAAATAAAATAAAATCAATCAAGTGACATTACGTTAACCAACCATTCAGAAACGTCCTGTTCGAGCCTTAATTGTCGAACTTCTTTGCGGCCGTCATCTTGTTCCGGGTGCGACTCCGGTTCAAACTGATACGATTGCACAGATGTGTCCTCAAGAGACTGCCATTCTCTCTCCAAAATATACCCTCAACTGTTGTCAAGGCAACACTTCACGTGCGCTGTGTCTAAATGCCCAGAATAGAGGGGCGGGGTTTATTATTTAAAGGCATATGCACTGAAACGGCGTGCTGAAAACAGAGCTGATTTTGACCAGGTAAAATTAGTGTTTTCTTAAAATACTAATGAGAATTTTTAATACAAGTATATTACAAAGTTTTCATTTAGACCCTAAACATTCATATTAACTTGTACAAAAATGGCATTATATGACCCCTTTAAAATACATCGGTCTGCACTCGGGAATTACTACATTACAATGTGTGAATATGCCTCAGCGTGTGAGCATGCTCAGATGCCGCAGTCGTCCCGCCTCTAACCCTGTTCTCCCACTGGAAGTCTTGTGTGCCCTTGTGCACTTCCCCATACACATTCCAGGGCAGCAAGTGATGCATAGCACAGGCCATGGCTGGCTGCACAACAGAAGCCTCCTAGAGCCATTACCCACAAAGCCTAGCTCGAGAAACATGTCACACCACACTTCCGATACATGTGATAATCACACCGGGGCCAAATTCGCCCACATTTCTCACCTTGCATTGCATCACATCACCGCTCGGAAAACACGTCTTGTGATTTTCCACATCATCAATGCACTTGCAATCAATCTAGGAGAGAACCACCTCTAACTTACCATGCAAATTAGCAGCGATCCATCCGAAGATCAGGTAAGAAAATCATGACGGTAATGTCAAACGTTACGGGCAGAGTGCTGGAAAACAAATTGTGGCCTCTTGTATCTTCTCTTATCATGCCTGATGAAGAACGCAGGAGGTGGGTGGAGGTGGTTTCAACACCTGGTATTTGCAGGCACACCCTTTCCTTGAGTCACGGGCTAAATGATCCAGGATAAGACATCTGAGAAATAGATCAAAACACAAAGAAAGCATCAGAACTGCTTTAATCTTGGGCTTTAAATTCACTCTGTCCAGATAAAAGATTAGGCCTAATGGGAATTTCTCACATTCTCACAAACCGATTACAAATGATATTATTCAAATTTGTAAATCTTTTAGATTACACTCAAAGTCTAATCTGATTACTTCAGGATTTTTTTAATATCTAATTCTCCTTTAATTAGTATTTGATGTGAAATAATACTGCTAGTACTAATATATAAATAATGAAAAGAACCTTAAAGTCTAGCCTACTTTCTAAATCAATGTTACAAATCTTATTGTAACGATTCATACGCGTTTCGTTTATTTAATCGACCCTTGACCCTTAATCATGCTGGACCTTCTGGTGAAAAGGACAGATTTCTCTCTGGTTAGGTGTGCAGGACTTAAACGCCACCCCTTAAAGGAGAACTCCGGCGCAAAATGAACCTTTGGTCTAATAAAACATTGGTACCTAGTCAACCGTTCTCTGAGATTTGTTTTCATGATAATCGAATGTAAAGAGTTTTATCTCTAAAAACTGTTTAGCGTATAATGCTAGTAATGGGGGCATCTATTAAGTAAAAAGAAATCGCTAGTTTATACCACTAACAAGACTCAAAATAGCCCCACACTAACACAGTAACATAATGAGGGTCCCTAGTAGTCCCTACATGCAAAACGAAGCATTAAGAACTTTGCAAGTGTACAGACCGTTTAATAAGAAGATATTTTATGAAGACAGTCCACTTCGTGTATACAGACAGGAGCCATCTTTGGAAAACAGTCTCAACTAGTCAAACCACGAACGACGTGCTAAGTGAGCTGAACTGTATGAAGTTCAGTGAACTTCTGAACTGTATGAATGGCGTTCGTGGTTTGATTAGTCGAGACTGTTTTCCAAAGGTGGCTCCTGTCTGTATACACGAAGTGGACTGTCTTCATAAAATATCTTCTTATTAAACGGTCTGTACACTTACAAAGTTCTCAATGCTTCGTTTTGCATGTAGAGACCCTCATTATGTTACTGTGTTAGTGTGGGGCTATTTTGAGTCTTGTTAGTGGTATAAACTAGCGATTTCTTTTTACTTAATAGATGCCCCCATTACTAGCGTTATACGCTAAACAGTTTTTAGAGATAAAACTCTTTACATTCGATTATCATGAAAACAAATCTCAGAGAACGGTTGACTAGGTACCAATGTTTTATTAGACCAAAGGTTCATTTTGCGCCGGAGTTCTCCTTTAAATGTTGCTTCGTTCATCCACCTCCACTTTTTAGTGCAACGCCCACATCTCCAAATCCAGTCAACAACCGACTCTTATAGAACCAAATCCAACCTTTTTTTTTTTTTGTCGATAATCTGTTTCACTCAGACGTATGTCACAATAAGAAAGAAAAGATCTCTCACTACTTCTATTTCATCGCAACTTTACATGAATTACTACATGTATTGATGAAAATCGAATCACTAATTTAAATGTTTTAAAGTACTAAGTAATAGGGCTGTAACGACACGCGATATAAAATCGAAATCGCGATACTCAGGTCCACGATCCTGTATCGCGATGTGAGAAGGCAGAATCGCGATCACACCCCTTCCAACTTCCTGTCCAGAACCAGGGCTCGAATTTCGGCGCGGGTATTGCGCATAATTCTAATCATTCCCGCAGGTCTCCCATTTATAATGCGGGAAATTCCCGCAATCGTAATCCACACAGATAATAAAATCAAATCATTCTTTTAACAACTATCTTCCAGACGCAATTTCACAAACAGCGTGAGTGTTCAGCGGTGCCGCGCGTCTTCTATCTCTTCTCATAATGTGTTGTGCAAGGCAGGCATCAAGCGCTGCGGCGATAATACACACTCGCGTTTTGGAGTCGGGACCATAGACTGTAAGGTCGGGACATGACGGAATATTCACTTGCACAATCGGGCCAGCAGTGGATCGTGACTGAAGTCTTTTTAAGTCTTACCAGTTTAAACATTCAAGCGATTTTAAACTAATCAGTGCTCGCGCGCTCTCTGAGATTATTTTCTATGCGCATATTCATAGAAAATCCGCCTCAAAAACAGCTGGCTAGTAACTATTTTTCGCGGATTATATTGCTTTAACACGCAAAATTGTCAATTTCGGTCTTTGTGAGTAGGCTATACTCTAAATATAGTCGTTTTGTCTTTAATAAGCATAAAACGCATGCCAGTATAATGAACACAGGATCCGTGCACTAGCTCTTAAAGTGACGGAAGCCATATGTGTCTGTCATTAATTTTGTTGTCAAAACAACAAAAGATGGCTTTAAGTTAAAGGAATCAGGATTAATAGCCTATGTATTTAATTTATTCAGGACTAAAATACTACCCAGTGTTATTTTTCATTTGATTACTTTATTCAGTTTCTGTATATGAATACTAGTGTTAGACCTATTCAAAACTTTTCTCTTTAATTGTCTTTATTTGTATCTTTATTCTATTGTATTTATTTGTGCTACTTTTTTAAATTTAATTAAACAATTTAAATCAAGCTTCCTTGTGATGTGTAAATTCTTAACAACAATATTACCCCATTGTAAAAATGCAATGAGCGCAAACATTTAGGCAAGATAAATGTAATAATTTTGTTTGGAAAAAATGCACGTCCAACATGCAGCTGCATATCCCAAGGCACCATCCCGAAATCAATTTAGTTGGAGTACAGAACACAACCCAAAAGCAGCAGCCTACACTGCCTAGTATAGTTTAATAATTTGCATAGTTATTATTGTTCTTTGGTGTTTAGATTATACAGGTTTTTCCTAATGTTATTTAATAAAAATACCGGTATTTTTTTCTTCTCTCAAAATCTCTTTTTTTCACCACAAGCCCCGCCCCCGTGATAGAATCGCGATACGAATCGAATCGTGGGTCAAGAATCGTGATACGAATCGAATCGTGGGTTTGGTGTATCGTTACAGCCCTACTAAGTAACCTTCCTTTCATTAACTAGATAAGTTAACTGGCTATTGAGTAAATTTGTCTTTAGTGGGGAATATAATATAAGACATTGCATTGTGGAAAGCAAAGACTGCCTTATTCAGTGAACTTGTTCCCATACAATCCATAAGTTAACTAATTTAATTATATGCATTTTAAAATGTACTGTACATGTCCCCCATTACTATTTGACACAATAACCATTAAACCTACACTTTCAAACGATTAAATTTACAATTTTGGTTATGTTTTAACCAGACATTGTGGAAAAATAAAAACAAGTAAATACTTCTGCAAGGCAATAAACTGCAGTAGCCTATGAATCTTACATTAGCCAATCTATTACAGCAAATTGCAATAAACCTGACTATATCAGCAATAGAAGAAAATAATCCCAAGAATAATAAAAGTATATAAGCTAGTATATAGGCTCATTTACCGACTCCTTTTCTGTGCATTTTAACTGTTCAAAAGTAAAACAACGTTGCAGTTACAATCTGTGAATTTCATTGCACACATCTTTTTTGACACCCAGAATGTTGCCCATATTAGACAGAATGTTTCACACAACCAGTCCAGCTGCATATTAAAACCAGAAGCACAAGTGAATGGGAGGAACTTCAGAACTTGTATGAAGATGAATGGTCGAGCAATCAGCCCTCCTCCGGAAGGAAACTCTTAATATCACGTAGGCTGTCATCAATAACTGAATGCAAGCAAAATAATTACTGGCAAGACCGAGAAATAAAAACAAGCTCAGAACTTCCGTCTTATTTTATTTAAGGTCAACCGTGAGGAAATTGTCGGCTACCATAATCGTAAATGTAAAAGATAAATTTGGACGAAAAGTCACATAACGTCTGATATATAACAAAATAATACAAGGCTCCGTGATAATAGACGACTGTCATCCCGCTATTCGCCTTCATTCCCCGTTGCAGTGGAATCAAAACGGCTGTGTGTCAAAACCTACAGAGGATCCTACCTTACAGCATTTTTAGGTATCGTTGAAACACCAACGATCGTTTGAACGCCCATATAAAGCCCCCAAACGCTGTCGAGCGTTACAAATGCTGTTGGAACGTTCCAACCGCTCGAATAATGTCCAAAAATGCTGTCTGGGTAGGCATCTCGCTAGGTTTTGCGACACAGCCAGCATCTTTACTAAAGTCATCGCAGGTAGCAGCTAAAGCCCAAACCATTTCTATCACAAAACAGCGCAGTGCAATTGAAAGTAACCGCTTTTTTAGACAAATGAAGTGTAGCTTCCACTTTATTACATTTTCGCAGTGGCTCTTTGATTTTCTAAGCGCAAGGAGGCAACGGCTAGCGCGTTAGCTGGCGAGCTAGCGGTACCACCGAGACCGTTAAAGAGCATATGTCGCCTTACCCCTTTTGTTCTAGATGTCAGTCTTCTAAAAGGGTGTCGTTACACGTGTTTATGCGGATATCGGGGGTATCACGCGTTGAGTTTGCATGCTGCCGTTTTATCTCCATCAGCGGTGTTTTCCGTCCATCCGCCCAACTTCAGCACCGAGCGAGCCAGTGGAGACGCCCTGCGCATGCGCGGCGGAGCTGTCAGCTAACGGAGCGCGAGCTGCGGACAGGGTGCAGAGGCAGAGGTGCAATGACAGGCTGAGATTCTGCTCACAATAACTGCCTGGCTGTACTAATAATAAATATACATGCACGCACAACACAATAGTATACGTAAAAAAGCTCTATGACTTAGCCTACTAGAAAACATTGTCAAAAACAAAGTCTTAGTTGTAAAAAGAGAAATTCTATAATTTAAGCATTTGGTCTGCTAATGGTTACCTTGAAAATAATATTACAACTTTAATGTTTTATCAATAGAAGATTAATACAACATTAATAAAATACAACTAAAGACCTATATATATTATATATATATATATATTCTCAAATAGTCTATAAATAAGCTGTACATAAAATAAAAAATTGTCGAGCAATCCAATAAAAAATATAGGCCTATAGGGTATGCTGAATAATCCACACTATAATTAACAGTGTATTTCTTTATATGTATATATATATATATATTTCTGTGATAAGTGCAGAATTATTATCAATATCAGATCTTATGTATTTCTGTGATTTTCATGTGTTTTTGCTTTAAGGGATTATTTACAGATTTATATTCGATTTTTATAATTATCATCATTATTGTTTTCATTTCAAATACTTTGTTGCAAATATTTTGGGTTTTATAATAAGCACTATTCCTTCGAATTAATTAAATACATTATTATAGTTAAAAAAGATGGATGTGTGTTATTGGTTATACGTGCGTGTGCGCGTCAGTGCGTGCACTTGTAGAAGGAGTTCTCGCGATACGCTTCATTCACGATAAAGCAACGATGATGAAGTATCGCTTGGACGTGTGTTCATTAATATCATCCTTTACAGGTAACAAATGTATCAAATGCACACCACCAGTGTTTCTTATAGCTTTATAATAAGGACTGTTCACTGTATTAATTTTTTTCCGATGTATATACATGAGAGTGTTTTATCTGTAAACTCTGTTTAGTGTTCCGATCGGTGCTGCGCACATGGTTAGCAAACGTGCAAAAAGTACAATGTGGTGTTATTGTATGTTTCATGTTTTCCTTTTTCATTAATTTTGTGTTCTGAGTTTATTTCGTGCTGTTTCACTGAGAGTGTGTGTGAGTATGTATATTACGTCATGAGTATGAAGTCGAGTGAACTTGGATGGACATCCATGGCATGAATGGAATTTGAGTGTTTAGATGACCAGCATGTAATTTAAAGCTGTGTGTAAACGTATGAAACTATGCTCATGTTGATGTACATAATTTGTGCTTCATTCATGATAAAGCAACGGTGATGAAGCATCGCTTGGACGTGTGTTCTTTAATATCCTTTACAGGAGTATTATAATTTTGGAGGCACCGCTGGGATTGATGTTCGGTGGAGTGACTCCCTGACCGATAGAGCCCACTTAGCAACATCGTCCCCTTCTTAGTGACCCAGATGAGCAGCAGTGTGAGGCATTCAGGATGAGTGGTGGAAAAGACTGATTGAGCAGTGTGTGCACTTGGAGTTGTCACCAGTAGTCACAAGGTCAAGTCAGTAAGGTAAACACCACCCTCAACAGCCTGTCTACACGGCAGCCAAAAATGGATGAGCTTAAACGTCTTCAGGATGAAATTGAGAAATTATGCACACTTTCATGTGAAAAGCTGGCAAAACCAGCTAACATGAGAGGATGAGACAAATGTGACTCATTGAGCTGCCTTAGTAACTATCTTCTGAGAACTGAGTTAGAAGATGGCGGCATGGCTGAACTTTTGACAATTAATGACAAACCGAGTCAGTTCCTGGGAATTACAGTTAATGTTTATGAACCAAGGGCACAGAGAGAGGAAAATAAACCTGGAGATGTTAAAGGGGTCATATAATGGTACATGCACTTTTACAAGTTGATTTTACTGAAATGTGTGTTGGCAGTGTCTGTACACAACCATCATATAATGATAAAAATCTATCCAGTGGTTTTGTTTTAATCTCCTTATATGTTTTCCCCTGCCTCAAATCGAGCCGTTCGACCGTGTGACGTCACACGCTCGGAAGCCCCTCCCACGATTGTTGATTGACAGGAGCGTCTCAACACAGACCCGCCCTCGCGGGTGAGATCAGCTCCATGAGAGAGCTGTCAATCATAGTCTGCGCGGACCGGCGCGGTCATTGTTGACATGCTGGAGCACTGTCTATGAGCAGAATGGCGTCTAAGCGATTGTGGTGTTCTGTTCTTGGGTGTAATAACGAACACAGCAGTCATTTTAATGTTCCTAAATCCGAACCGCTGAAGACGCAGTGGCTGTGTTTGTTTTCGAAGGGAATATTCCCCACGAGCAACGTCAATGCGTTCATGTTTGCGCGAATCATTTCTCACCAGACTGCTTTATAGACGAGGATCAGTATAAAGCTGGATTTGCTAAGCTGCTGCTCATGAAAAATGGATCGGTAGCTGCTACCAGATATTCGTGTTCCTGCTGAATCTCCAGAAGAACGGAAGTGAGTGTAACGTTTTATTAAACTTTATATTAATATATTAATCTTTGCAAATCGCTAGCTGCACGCTTCACAATGAATGCGTCTAAAGTTTACACTCAGGGTACATTACGGCATGTTTTCTATGTATGACGTTCTCAATATAATTCATAATCCCACGTTTATACTGAACAACGCGTTATGGTTATTGAGTTACAAATGGTGTACGCCAGAGCTCTGGTGTACGCATAGAACAGAGGGGCGGAGTCAGCAAAGCTCATGATCATTTAAAGTCATATGCACTGAAACGGCGTGCTGAAAACAGAGCTGTTTTTGACCAGGTAAAATAAGTGTTTTCTTACAATACTAATGAGAATTTTTAATTAAAGTATATTACAAACTTTTAATTTAGACCCTAAAGAATCATATTAGCTTGTACAAAAATGGCATTATATGACCCCTTTAACACAGTACAGAGAGAAATACAAGAAAGTGGAAAAAGTGCAACTGAATTGTTTTCTGCCATGCACATTAGTCCCGCCGCACTACAGAATGCAAGAAACAGACAGACATATGTAGACCATGGCCCAGTTTATTCTCCACACACATTACATAGACAAGTTAACTCAGCATGGCAGAAAGACTTAAACATTTTTTGGAATAAGGGAGCCTTTCTGTTTTATTTACTTTTTTGCTACAAAATCTAGTGACCAGTCCAAGTCCTTTAAACCTTATGCTGAGAGTTGGTCAGTTTATCATTTTAAAAAAAGGTGAAAAGCATAAATGGCAAATAAATTAAACAGTATAAATCGAGGCCAAAAATGTTTTCTAAACTGCAAATGGTTATCACCAACTGGGAGTATAGCAGGGTATTGTTTGTTTTCCTGACCAACACTCTCATTTGTTAAGTCAGACATCATTGTCCATCTCAGAGGTAGTCTACAGGATTGGTGTGTCAGTTTGTCCATGTTGTACCATTGACCTTAAAACCACTTACATTATGTCTTTTATAGCATCTCAAATCATTTTAGATATTCTTCAATTTGTGGTTTCTTTTTGTTTATTTATAAAGTTTGGTGTTAACTGTAAACGGAAAATAAGATGTCCAGTGAAGCATTAGTCCAAAGGTCTAGGCATCAAATTGGCTTCTTCTTTCCCATTACACCTGCATTCTTCCCTAAAAATCCAAGAACTGATTTAGTCCTCATCCGTTGCCTTTCTCTTGTGTGAAGGAAGTGTCTTCTTGATGAATTCCATTTGCAGAATTTGCACTAGCATGTGCCTGGTTCTTGTCTGGGCGGGTACACATGGCCTGCACTATCTGGTCCACGTGTTGGTTGTGTTCCAGAGCGTTTCTCAGGGCATCTTGTGTGCTCAGCAGCCTTTGACGCAGACGGGCCATCATAGAGTATCAGCGGTGGTCTGGAGACGACCTTTCCTGACTCAGCAGCAAAAGTTTCTCTCGCAGGGTTTTATTGTCATCCTGTAGTTTCTGCTCCTTCATCCTCCTCTCCGCTCATGCAGAGTGGCGTAGAGATTCCAGCAATAACACCTGAAGCTCATTCAGGCTCCTCTCTTTCTTCAGAAGCTCCTGGCTAATAATCACCAGCTGGCCTGATGCATCATGAGATTTCTTGGTCATGGACTCCAGCTCCGCCTCCAAACGTGTCTTCTCCCAAAAGAATCCTTCTGCCGCATTCTCTCCCAAACGAACCTTTTCCTCCAAGGCAGTTATTTGGGTCTTTAGGGCATCTACTTGGGTTGTTAGAGTGGAGACTTCTTTTTCCCTTTTTGTGAGTTTCTCCAGAGTTTCTTCCATATTCTTTTTCAGTTTAATCTTCTCTTCAGAGTTGTCATTATTTTCGATTATATTAACATCCTGGGTGTTGTCATCCGCCGCACACCGCCACAGCTTGCCGTCGGTTCTCACTGACCCTCAGCTTCTCCTGCAGAGAAAGGATCTCTGCTCGGCTCTGAGCTTCAGCCTTCTGCAGGGCTTCATAATCAACCATCTTCTTCTTAGCCAGCTCCAGCTGCTCTTTAAGAAGTAGGGTGGCATTTTTTTGCTCTTCATGGGATTTATCCATATCGCTGATCCCAAACTCAGCCTTTTGGACCTTCTCTAAAACCTCTTTGAGCTCCAGAGTATGCTGGTTGCTCTTGGTTTCCACCTGGATCTTCCAGTTCTGCTCGCTCTTCTCTAGCTGGTCCCACAGATCCTGAAGTCGGGCACGTAGGTCTTCACGCTCTTTGGCCATCACAGCAGCATCATTCTCATGCTTGGCTTTCAAGTTCTCTAACTCCAGTTGATGCTCCATTTTTAAGCTCTCCAGAGCAGCCCTCATCTCAGGTGTGGTTCCTTCACCCTCTCTGTTTTCACTGCCCCCACTATCTCCCATTAATGAGGATTTTAGTTCCTCTAGAGCACGTTGATGGTCTCCAACCAAAGCGTCAAGTTTGGCTTTCCAGCTGTCCCAGCTGTCATCTCCATGTTTTCACGATTGGCCTGCTGAAGTCTTTGCTTCAGGTCAGAGATCTTATGGCCCTGATGTTCTGTGGTGGCTTTAAGGCGTTCAACTTCTTTCTGGCTAG